TGCTGGAATGCGATCTTTGAAATTCTCTTGATGTCGACTATCATCACCTCATTTGATCCCTAATTGATGTTCAGTTTATCTTGTTCACTAGACCATGCTGATTTCTATTACTCCGGGGGTCTAAATGTTTTGTTTTGGTAATCGCGTTGGACGCACCAACTCATTTCTCGAAATGAGGATATGACTTTTGGCCTATACTCTTCTATTGTCTCAAGGCCTGTCAACTCTTATATTTTCCTTCACTTGACTATAGACTCTGTCATCATACCATAGTTTGATTAAACATTATCACCCATTTATCACATCTTACTCATAATACTTCTTTTACTCTCTTCTTATTCTCCTGCTAATACTTCTGTCTATCGCATTATTCTAAAAACTTCAACAAAACATTGTTTCACTTTTAGGTCCCCTGGCTCAATCCACCATTTCAGGTTACTCTAACCCAAGCTGGATCTTGGTATCCCATCCTTCTCTTAAACTATATATGTTAGCTCCCATAGGGGAATAACTAAGATGGGTGTGGCCAATTGTACATACCTCTATTTCTGTTGAAGGTAACTTAGATTCCTTTTATCTCTCTGCCTGACGTGGAAATTCGTATAATCTTCATTATCTAGGTACCTCGTACCCTTCTTCACCTTTCTTCTGTTACCTGTTGAAACTTATACTTTTATCTTCTGATACTCTCATGGCCTGCTATTCACGGGGCATGTTAGATATTCCCGTCTTAGTGTAAATGGGAAATCCGCACATATGGTAAGCACGATCTAATAGGGTCTCAAACAAGGCCACGTAGTCAAGACTTCTCTCTCTACTAATGCCCTTACCTGTTGTTGTATTAGCACTTTAGCTAGCTATAATTTTTCAAATTGAAAGCATCTATATATCATTAGCAAACATAAGCTTTGGCTCGAACTCATATGACTCGACTCTATAGCACGATTTGGATTTGAATAAAGGGTAATCGACTCCTAAATGCCTTGTAGCCTCCTGCTTATAAGTGTAGTGCATATAACACCCATAAACAAGACTATACTAGACACGACTTGTAGACTCCCTAGGATAGAACTGCTCTTATACCAAGTTTGTCACGCCCCAAACCTGAAGACGCGTGGCCGGCACCCGGTACCATACTCGGCCCGAGCGTACCATTCTGTAACTCTGACCTCTAGAGGGGTAACCCTCAACCTAGGCCGATGAGGCCATATTTTGAATCATCTGAAAATATCTCTCTCATTTGAGGGGTAAACATACCCAAAAACTCATATATATATATGTGTGTGTGTGTGTGTGTGTGTGTGTGTAGGCTGACGAGGCCTCTATGAACATCTATTGATATACAAACTATACAAACCTTGTCTACAGGCCTCTAGAGATAGTTGAACTATATCATGGTCGGGACAGAGCCTCGACCTACACATCGAACCTGTATATATAAAACGGACTCCAAGGTCTAGACCTGGTAACTTCGGGTAAGTGGAGCTTACCAACCAAGTTGATATTTGGCTCTGTCTACTGGGAAGGTCTATCCAACTGTCTATCAGGACCTACAGGCATGAAATGCAGCGTCCCCAGCAAAGGGACATCAGTACAAAATAATGTACGGAGTATGTAAGGCAACAGAATAATTGAAAGTTGAAACTGAGCTGATGATATAATAACTAAATGTAACTAGGAGTCAAAAATAATCCGAAGATATGCTTACCTGCTAATACTGACTCAACTCTCTCCATATAGTATGTAAAATAGTTGTTCGGCCCTATAAGGCTCGGTATGTGTAACTGCCCTACCGTAGTAGGCTCGCCCATAGGCGCTCAACCATACTAGGCTTTGTATCTCGGCCATTCTGGGCTCGCTCATAGGTGCTCGGCCACAGTGGACTCGGTATATAACTTACCATCTGATCAGAGGTTGCCCAATAGAGGCCTGCCCACCGATTATAGCTCGTTGGTGATGAAAATACTGTAATACTGTATATATATACACTCTCTGCTCTCTTGGCTGAGAGAAGACAATACTAAACAGAATATGAAGTCCCGATAAGGGAAAATACTGTAACTTCTGAGACTAGGATAATGTGAATAAATTTAGGAATACGAACTTCTCTTTATGCCTCGTTATCAAACTCATGTAGTTACGGGATCATGCCAAAATGAAGAAAGGTTTAGCCTTAACATACCTTATCACAATCTTTCCAATCACCAAGTTGAACTCGCCTCTTCGTACCTTAATCTACAATCACGATAATAATACTATCATTAAGTTACGAAAGGTACAACTATCGCACAACGAACGACAAGCTTATTTTGTATTAAAACAGGCAGCATCTCCCCTATAATCCTTACTTCCTCCAAATTCAAGATAACACCAACAACACAAGAATACAACAATATCAACATGTATACATTATTTTCCAACATTATATACACCACAAAATACTACAAAATAGCCCAACACACCCCAATCTCTTCATACACAAAACGACTACCGTAGTAGTGTCAAACAACCCAAAAGTGTTACGACGAATGACCAGCCCACCACCCTGCATTTATGTGGTGTTTCTCCACACCCTTCCTTCTCCAAAACTCCACAAAACAGTAGTAAAATACGCATCCCAACAGCACCACAAAATAGTCCGCTACAAGTGAATAACTCGAACTCACGGCTTCCGATCACCATACCGTGAGTTCTTACAAATATAGAACGACTTACTATGCATCTACAACAGAAAAAAAATGGATGAAAGAGAGCAGTAAACTTACCTTATTTGTTGGATAACTCAGCTCCTATCTTGGTTCTTCAAACTCTAGGTTTTATCTCCAATTAGAACTTGAAAGGGAGAGAAAATAAATTGGGGTTTGTGTGCAATTTTTGGGAAGGTTTTTGCAGAGATTATGTCTGGTTATTTTGCCATATTATCAGTTTAATATATGAAGGGGATAAGCCTTTAAAAATTCCTCTTTGGACGACCCGAACTGGCACATTTTTGGACGACCCGAACTGGCCCATTTTTGGATTCTCGTTTAAGCAAGTAGGTGACAGTCTGCACAGTCTCGCAAAAACACCCATATCTCTCTACTCTGATATTGTATTGACAAACGGTTTAATGCGTTAGAAAATAGACTCACATATTTAATTTGATGGGTGGAACACCCCATAACTCTAAGTATATTGGGAGCAAATGGCAGTTACATTTGACCCAAAGTTTCAGTAAAACTTATGAACGTAACTTGTGATGACTTTCATCGACTTTTGTTCCACTACTCGCTTGACTTCAAAACATAATACACGACTATCATACGACTAACATAACTCATAACATAACCTCCTTATCATGTTAAACACCCTGGTCTCACCCCAAAAGTACATGCTATAACATTCCCAAATTGTCGACTTTCGACGAAATATTATTTTCTTCAATTCCTTTAGCTTTTGAACCTTCCAACCCTCTTTGTACTTGTTATTCATGATCTTCAATATTTGTAACCTCCGATGTAACATGATTAACTTACTTTGTAAACTTTTCAAATATAATTGCCTTTCTGAGCTTACATCAATTGACTTACGACGTACTCGTAAGTACGAAAACATGGGTTGTAACACTTCTGTCTCCGGTTGTAATGTTTTTTATGGCTGTGGCTAGTTTGGCGAGGTCATACGCCTTGACATTCTGTGCCCGTGGGATCTGGTCGAGTTGACATTCATCGAACTCGGGCAGCAGATTACAGATTTCGATATGGTATTTTTTTAACCTTTGTTACTTGATTTGGAAAGTCCTTGTAACTTGGTTGACAAAGAGTTGAGAATCGCAGCGTAGTCTTAACCATTTTGCCCCGGATTTGAGTGCTAGCCTTAACCCTACAATTACAGCCTCATACTCTGCTGCGTTGTTAGTCATGTCCGGGCACCTTATGGACTGGCGAATCACTTCGCCGGTTGGGACTTCGAGTACGAGTCCCAGTCCGAAACCTAGCGCGTTAGATGCGCCGTCAGTGTACAGGACCCAGAGGTCCTGTGTTTGGGGAGAAATGTGGACGACTTCTCTTTCAACTTCGGGCATTATTTTTGCACTGAAGTCGACGACGAAGTCAGCAAGAACTTGTGACTTTATCGTTGTTCGCGGCTGATATGTGATATCGTGCTCGCTTAGTTCGATGGCCCATTTGGCCAACCTGCCCGATAGCTTGGGATTATGCAAAATGCTTCTTAGGAGAAATTTGTGACGATCGAGATTAGGTGGCACTGGAAATATGGTCTAAGCTTTTGTGAAGCTACGACTAAGGCCAGGGCCAATTTTTCGAGGTGAGGGTATCCCGTCTTGGCGTCGACCAATTTTTTCTAATGTAATAGATGGGAGACTGTGTACATTTATTTTTTCGGACCAGGACTACGCTCACAGCTACTTCAGATACAGCAAGGTAGACGATGAGACGTTCCCCTGGCTCTAGTTTCGAAAGCAATGATGGCGATGGCAAATATGCTTTTAATTCCTTCGGGACTTGGACGGACTCAGAAGTCCGGAGGTCGTTATCCTTCTTGAGTACGTCGAAGAATCTGTGACACCTATATGATGATCGTGAAATGAACCTTGAAAGGGCAGTGATACGGCTAGTCAACCTCTAAACGTTTTTTTGGTGGTCAAGTGTTCTGGTATCCCGTCGATGACTTTGATTTAATCGGGATTGACCTCGATTCCTCGATGTGATACTAGGAATACTAAATTTTTTCCTGAGGCCACACCTAACGCACACTTTTCGGGGTTCAGTTTCATTCCATATTGTCTGAGTATGTCGAAGGTTTCTCTTAGGTGGTCGATGTGATCTTCTTTCCTTTTGGACTTGACTAGCATGTCGTCTATGTAGACTTCCATCGTTTTGCCGAGCTAGTCTTTGAACATCCTCGTCACCAACCTTTGGTAAGTTTCCCCTATGTTTTTTTAGCCCGAAGGGTATGACCCTGTAGTAGTACGTCCCTTGATGGGTGATGAAAGTGGTTTTCTACTGATCCTCTTCATCCACGAGGATTTTATTATAGACCGAATATGCGTCCAAGAAGCTCAGTAATTCATGTACGGCCGTTGCGTCGATGAGTTGGTCGATATGGGATAACGAAAACGAATCCTTGGGGCATGCTTTGTTCAAATCTGTGAAATCTACACACATCCACCATTTCCGATTCTTCTTTTTCACCATGACCACGTTGGCGACCCACTGAGGGTATTTTGATTCCCTGACAGAGCCATTTTCTAATAGCTTTTCCACCTCTTCGCGTACTGCGTCATTGATCGATGAGTTGAACTTATGCCTGACCTGCCTCACTAGGGGGTAGAATGGGTTGACGTTCAGCTTGTGCGTGAAGATTTCCTTCAGGATACCCGGCATATCTGCATGGCTGAAAGCAAATAAGTCCGCATTAGGGGTTAAGAATTAGCTGAATTTACCTGGTTCCTGAAGTTTGTAGCCGATGTAAGCTTTCTTGCTGTGATTGTTGGTGTCTAATTAAATGGGATCGAGGTTTTCTATGGTCGATTCCGCAGTTTCGACCATATCGGGGTCTCTGATGACGTCTTCGCTATCATCACATATCAATATCGACCCTGTTGATTGCTATGCCTCTTTTTCTTGGTCCTTGGCTTGTTGAGTGTCCATGAAATCTAGGGCGATGTGGTTGCATTCTTGGGATATGCGTTGTTCCCCTCGTATCCTGAATATCCCCCTTGGAGTCAGGAATTTGATGACCTGGTATAAGCTGGAGGGGATGGCCCTCAAGGTGTGTATCCATTATCGCCCTATTATGGCGTTGTATGTTATGTCTTGGTCCATGATGTGAAACGTAGTCTCCAAAGTGACACCAGCGGCCAGAATGGGGAGTGTGATTTTGCCTGATGTTCACTCAACTGCATTGTTAAAACCAGTTAGCGTGATGCAACGCGACACTATCCTATCTTGGAGTTTTATTTGTACAAGTACTCGAGGATGGATAATGCATGCGCCACTCCCATCGTCTACCATAATGCGTCTTACATCAGTATCTAAAATTTGTAAAGTAATAACAAGGGCATCATAGTGAGGGAAAACCAAACCATTGGTATCTGACTTATCGAAGATTATACTTTTTTCGAGTTCGTAGTACCGCTTGCGGCTGATCGATCGTTTGAGCATGTGGGTAGTGGTGAACTTTACGTTGTTGATGGAAGCATCTTCGCCGCTGCCGATGATCATGTGGACGGTGCGGGTTGGTGAGGGCGATTTCGGCGACCCTTGATGTTGTTCGCATCCTCTGGCAAAGTTGGTCCTTCCTCGGTCACTCAATAACTCTTTGAGGTGTCTCTGTCGTAACATGTTTACGACCTCCTGCCTTAGGGGCGATGAAATCTTCAGTTTTGTGCCCTCATTCTTGATGGAACTCACAAAGGGCGTCCGATTTTCTGGTACTCGGATCTGACCTCATCTTTTGTGGCCACTGCACCTTTGGTCCGAGCTTTTCTAAGGTGTAGACTATTTCTGTAGGTGACACACAAAAGTTAATAAAAGAGGCATACCCCTTTCGTTCCGGTGAGTCCTTATCCTTGATCTGGGCGGGCCTTCTTCGTGGTGGGAGGAGGGGGTGCAACGGCCGCTCTAACATATGGTTGATGCCGTTCCCTATTGGGTTGTGAAGCAGCGAGGTCCCTTCGAGTATTATTTCTTCGATCTTTTCTGGATTCGGCCTATACCGAGGTTAGTCGATGAGTTGGTCCATTGAGGTCGTCATCGTTTGCTCGGACCTCGGCACAATGTGCATTGTGTATTTCATCCCAAGTGGTTGGGGGATACTTCATCAGTCGACTCAATATCTTTCTAGTCGCCCTCGAACCGTCCCTGCTCAGCTCGTTCTGGAAGGTTGCGACTGCCATCCCTTCTGACACGTTCGGTAGGGTTATCCTTACTCGGTTGAAACTGGCGGGGAATTCCCTCAGTCCCTCTCCTGGAGATTGCTTAATAGCAAATATGTCATTCACTCTTGCCTCGTCTTTCTTGGCCCCAGCATGGGCCATTACGAACTTGTCGGCCATCTCTTCGAAAGTTTTAATGGAGTGCGCAGGTAGTTGTGTATACCATGTCAATGCTCCTCCTGTGAGGGTTTCACTGAATTTCTTCAACAAAATGGAGGATACTTGTTATTTGGCGAGATCATTGCCTTTCACGGCAGTGACGTAGTGAGTCACATGATCTTCAGGGTCAATCGTGCCATCATATATTTTTAGGTAGGGTGACATTTTAAAGGTCTTCAGTATGGCATGCGGGGCTGCATCATCATTGTATGGTTGTTTGAAAAATCAGTCGGCGTCTCTCTTCGGCAACAATTTGGGGGCGCCCGGTATTTTATCGACCCTTTCCTGGTGTTCTTTCATTTGATCTCGGAGTTCCTTGTTCTAGTTCTCCATTTCCTCCATCCTTTTCAAGATGGTTGCAAGAGCGTTATCACCCGCATTATTAATGACGTTGTGAGTAATACTTATTGTTGGAGGTGGTGGGATTTGATCGCAATGTTCATTCGCCCGTTGCACGGTGCAAATCCTTGCATTTTCCACAGTCGCGCCTTGGGTAGATTTGTTGAGGACGCCGACTAGCGTATCGGTTAGCCTTGCTTCGAGGAGCTATTTTACAACTGGGGGCGTTTCTTCCCCCACTGATGTGGAGGCTCTCCTACTAAGGGATTTTGTGATGCTGCAATGAAGAGGGGGTGACCCATTTCGCCTAGGGGAGGCATTGGGCGCTGCGTCCTCGTCCGCTATTTTACAATTCTCATTGATGACGTTCATGAGGTTGGTTGGGAGGTCACTTATTATTCTCGTCCTTTCTTCTCTGTTACCTACCATATTGGATTTGTGCATACAAAGAAAGGAGATCTTGTTCTTGTTTTTTTTTTTTTTTTTTTTTTTTTTTTTTACGTTAGCGATCCGTGTTAGTTATAGATCTAGAAGAAACTAAAAATTTAACTAGAAAATCCCCATAGATGATTGTTTGACCAAAAAGTATAACTTTCGGCTAAAACTGTTGAGTTTATATAATAATGGGTTAAACTTAGTTAAAAATAATATCTCTAGATGTGAGTTCCGAAAACGTGAATAACATTAGACAGATCTGGTAGTGGGTGACTACAACATACATTAATTGTTCTAAAAAGTGTGAGCAGTAATAGAGGAAGAACTAACAATAAATAACATTAAATGATATTTAAGTAAATAAGAGAAGTAGTTCACCCAATAAATGATGAACTAGATGATTGTCCCTCCCAACAATGATGAGTGATATGTAAATACTAGATTGTTCGAATTATTCTCGGAACTGATGGAAAAGTGTGGAATAATATGAACAAGAATCTTGATGAAAAGGTAGTGTTCGTATTTTATAAAAGAGAGAGAATCTTTTCTCAAAAGTTTGTTCTTATCAAATGAATGTTACATGCCTTACATCACTTTCTCTTTTTCAATATATATGAGACATACCCCTAACACACCTTAATAGTACAAGTGTAGAGAATATTCACTAAAATATTTTTTCTAATATCCCATTTTAAAAACTAGCCGTTACAACTCTGTTAATGGTGCTCGATCTCGCCCGTTATTACATCTCTACCACAAATCTCGATGCTTCCCGGTCGACCTCGATTGACCCATTCCTTAGTGCTATATGGACCTAAATATTTTAGGAAAGATTTTGAGCTATACAACCATATAAATTAGATATAATTGCAAGGGTTGGGTTAAAATAGACTATATCTTAACAGTTGATGCGAGCCGTGACTATTTATTCGTTCAACTTTTTAAAAGTCGATACCATGCACTTAAAAAATGTTATGAACATCACTTAATATATTAAATTTTCGTCTTTATTTTTGACTCAAATATCTTAAACCAACAACAATGTCGACGTGGACCTTACGTCCTTACCGATGAGAGAAGGACAGCATAATTAATAAATATAGGAAAAGGAAAAAATGAACAAGCTGGGAAAGTAAAAGCTAGCAAAGGACCGGACCTCCTCTTGAGGTTACAAAGAGGTCGTAGGTCGTACGCACGGCAGGTCTAAGATTAGGAAAAGACACAGCAAGCTTATTGGTGGTGGTCCATATCTTATGATAAAAGAAAGGATCTCCTAGCTCGTGAAGTTACAGCTGACAAGTGACAAGAGCTTGTTGGCATCCATGATTAACACATGCAATTGGGGCGGAACTGTTTTCCTCACCATCTATCCCCACGATCAACTTTCAAAAAGAAGATACAAAACTTTTTAAATTGGGAAAATACACCTCCTACCTGTCCCGAAAAATCAATTTCATGCAACTTATACGCACGTCCTAGTATCACCTAATCCTTATTTAAAGTGAAATTAATACCTAGTGAGGTGACAGAGAAACTAATTTCACTTTAAAAAAAATATAAAAAGATACTTAAATTTTTCATATGTTCATTTTCCCATTGGTTGTTACATTTAAATACAATTAATTAAGTGTAACAACCAATAGGAAAATGAACATTTGTAAAATTTAAGTAGCCTTTTATTAGTTTAATTAATTGTATTTAGACAAGAATGTGTTGTTCTAGTGGTGAGCACCCTCCGCTGGAAAATAGCCTTTTATGTGTTTGCTACTTAAATTTTACGGATGTTCATTTTCCCATTGGTTGTTACATTTAAATACAACTAATTAAGTGTAATTAAATGTAACAACCAATGGGAAAATGAACATATGTAAAATTTAAGTAGCCTTTTATTAGTTTAATTAGTTGTATTTAGACAAAAATGTGTTGCTCTAGTGGTGAGTATCCCCGCTTTCAACCAAAAGATTGTGAGTTCGAGTCACTCCAAGAGCAAGGTGAGGAGTTCGGTGAGGAGTTCTTGAAGGGAGGGAGCCGATGGTCTATCGGAAACAGCATCTCTATCCCATGGTAGGGGTAAGGTTTGTGTACACACTACCCTTCCCAGACCCACTAGTAAAATTATACTGGATTGTTGTTGTAATTAGTTGTATTTAGTGTAATATTAACCCTTTTTATTTTTATTTTCCTTGTTCTTTTTCATTTTCCCGTTTTTCTTTTCTTCTCTTTCCTCTTTCCTTTTTTCTTTCTTTTTCCTCCATTGTCACGAGACAGCAACACCGTACAATCATAAATCATATCAGAACAAAAATTAAAGATTGATAGTTCTTTCTCCACCTATTTTATCACCTCCTCTACCCTCCAATTGTTCTTCACAGCTTGGCTGGAGCAAACAATTACCAAGGTGGAAACAAAAACCCAGCACTTTATTGGATCTTTCTTAGCTTTCTCTTGCTTTGCGGTTGTGCTCTATACATTAACTTCGCTTTACATTTTTATATTTTGATCAAGATGGAAAGAAGAAAAAGGAAAAGTTGAGCGTGAAATTAATTTTTCGGGACAGGAAGCTAACTTATGTATTTTCCCAAAATTAATGTGAAGTTTGGAAAAAGGAGAAAAGGAGGAATGACAATGCGTTGCAATTAATTTTCCCAGTTGAAATGACTCAAAATGTCCAAGCCGTGACTAGCACCTAATAATATCTATCTCGAGTTAATCATAACAAAAAAGTTCATAGTCTCAATTCAAAATGATAAGAAGCCTAATAATAAGATATGAATATCGTAAAGTAAACTCTGAATTTTTTATTACAATGCGGAAGCAAAATTTACAATACAAGATCAAGTGATACAAGTCATGAGTTTGAATGAGTTCATACAGTGATAGGAACTATATAAACGGAATAACTAATAGTAAAGAAAACTCCAAGCCACCATTGAACTAGAAAGTTGACTCACACAGCAGTGGCGGCTCAATGAATTTGGTGGCCTAAAGCCAAAATGTCACGATCCAAATCTCATAATAGGTCGCTATGGTGCCCAACGATGTGGTAATTAGGCAAGTCAACGGTGATCCTCCAATTTAATTATTCATTTTAACCTTTAAACTTAGAAATATCATTAGATAAATAGAAATCAAATCTAGAACTCAAGAAAACATACGCACTGTTTTACCAAAATAATTAGTACGAATAGTACATAAAGCAAAGTGATAGTATCAATAAGTACAACTGCAAAAGTCCACTAGAAACTTCTAAAACCTTGTGTCACAAGTGAATGAGCAATCTAGGGAATATACAAAACTACTACATCTACTGTCTGAAATGAAATAGACAGAAACAGTAAATAAGACAGAGGGAGACTCTGGGTGCTGCAGATTGAGGCTGGGAAGGCATCTCACCACTAAGTCTCCGTGAATGCGACTATGCGCTCGTGTGGCTGCTGGAAGTACTCGTCTCAGTACTTGCATAATCAGTGCAGAAGTGTAGTATGAGTACGTAAATCAACGTGTACCCAATAAGTATCCAGTCTAACCTCGAAGAAGTAATGACGAGGGGTCGACTTGACATTTACTAGTGGTCAAAATAATAAAATACATAAAGTAGACAGGTAAGAAACACAACAAGTAACAATGAACAAATAACTTTAATAATAAATTTTCAAACATGGATCGTTACAAAATCACTAAGATGTCATAACCGTCCTCGAAGGCACAAAATCAACTAATATTAATACCAAATCAAATCCCAAGTGTTACACACGAGTCTACCGAGGCGAACAACCTGATCCCATAAGAATAGTGTTACATGATCCTGCCGAGGTGAACGGCTCGATCCCATAAGAATAACTCACAATACTACCGATGTGAATGGACTGATCCCATAAGAATAGAGAAACTCTCTCACTCGCGAAAATACATGTGAGTCAAGAAGACACAGAACTACCATTCATTAATATTTCATTATTTTCAAAGTAAGAGGCTCGATCATTATTTTTATTCCAGTCTCAATCTCAGTCATGAATTAATGAAATCAAACAAACAAGATTAATCTAAATAACACATTTAAATCTAGCTACATACGGACTCTCGTCGCCTCGTACGTACGTAACTCCCACAACAAGTAGCACACAATAAAAAATATACCTACACGGATAATTCCCTCTTACAAGATTATGCAAGAGACCTACCTCGCTACCAAGTTCTCTACTCGGCTCTTAAACCTCGCTAGAAATTCCCAAACGATGTCGAGCAATCCAAAACTAGTCAAAAGTCGTACAAATCAATCAATATATGTTCAAAAGTTCATAGTTCATCTATTAGAGTAATTTCCCAACCCAATCCGGAAAGTCCTTAAAAATCACCTCCGGGCCCACGTACCTGGTTTTCGAAAATGTTTGAAGATATTTGTTACCTATGATCGCACAAACTCAAATTTATAATTTATTTCCAATTCCATAATCAATTTCGTGGTCAAATTTCATTTTTACCAAAACCTAGGTTTTCAACAAAATCTCATAATTTTTACTACTTTCCATGTTAAATCTACTCATAATCCATGTATTAAAATCATAGTTGGTAAAAACCACTTACCTTGTGATGTTGATAAAAATTCCCCACAAAAGTGCTTTCAATTTCGTCCAAGACCAAGTGAAAATGAGAGAAAAGAGAGATAAGTCCCGCATTAAAATTAAGTCTACCCAGGTCTCCCTTCTTCGCGATCGCGAAAATCAACTTCCCAGCTAACTAATTTTACCCTTCACGTTTACGACCTCCTGGTCGCGTTCGCGATAGACCATCTCCCATTCTTTCGCATTCGCGAAGGCCAGATTCATTCTAGCCCAGCTTAGCTTCTAACCCTTCTTCGCGTTCGCGAAGAACTAGATCCTCCATTGCATTCGCGAAGAGTAAAATCCCAGACCTCCTTCCACGCTTGTTCGCGATCGCGAAGCACACCAGCAAAATTTCAGCCAACACAACTTTGCTCCGGATAGTCCGAAAAATACCCGAGCCATCCGGGACCCCGTTGAAATGTACTAACAAGTCCATGAATATACTACAGACCTACTCGAAGCCCCGGAACACATTAAATAATACGGACCCAAGAATCGCACTTCAAACTAAATTAATCAACTTTTAAGCTTTAAACTCATTTCAACTAACTTCGAAGGCGACAAAACATACTTAGACAACTCGAAATGACGCTGAATTTTACGTAGAAGTCATAAATCACAATACGAACCTATTCCAAGGCTCGAAATCCCGAATGGACAACAATAACATCAAAATCCACTTCAAATCAAACTTAAAAAATTCTAAAACCTTCAAAATATCAACTTTCAACATTAAGCGCAGAAACGCTCCCGGTCCACCTATATATACGTCCAAGTTTAAAATCAACAAATGAACCTATTCAAACCTTCAGATCTCGATTCCGAAGTCGTTTAGGAAAAATATTGACTCAAGTCAAACTTAGCTACCTTAGGCCACCATTATGGAACTAAGTATTCCGAATTCAACCCGAACCCTTCCAAAACTAAATCAACCATCCCCGCAAGTCATAAAACAGTAAAAGCACATATAAAAAATAGTAAATAGGGGAACAGGAATCTAGAAAGCAAAACGATAGATTGGATTGTTACACAAAATATATCAAAAGACCCTTAAACTTCTTTATAAAAATAACGAGTCACAAATAAAACATCCCACATGGCGTGCTAAGAGTGGAACGCGTGATGTATATCTTAGGCACACTCATGATATCGAACTATCCCATGTATAAAAATATAGTATTTAAGTGAAAAAGTATAGATAGATAAGACCATTATCTATCGCGTATCGAACCTTGCAACGCTTGTCTCAAGAATTTCTTAGTTCAAGAAGATGGAACACAAAAACACTTACTTTCTAATGTATGGATCAACCAAATATATATATGACAAAAACAAATAGCTAATTTAGAGAAATTGAATTGAAATTAGAAAGTGAAATCGTCAAAAATATTTAAACTAATATATATGTGAAGGAAGAAGAAATCAAATTATTAAAAAGGTATACACGTTATTTAATTTAATGAGAAAGAAAATTTATCATTATTTTCTCAGTCAATCATACAACCTCTACCAAATTAGAAAAATGTTAAAATTTATTTATTTTTAATTAATAATTACATAAAATTTCTCTCTCTATATATATATATATATATATATTCATATTTTTCGGGCCTTTAATATTTGGGACCTAAGGCAAAGGTTTCACTTTTTTTTCTTCTTCAATTGCCTTACCATGGAATCGCTCTTGCACTGGAACAACAACAACCATAAAATGCTGACTCACAAACTTCGCTAAAGCTCGTATATGAATCTGCACATGGAGTGTAGGAAGGGATCAACTGTTTGATATAAATTTTGTGCTTAATAGTGTCGGGCAGTTCGAAGGACCCGTATTAATTAAGGTCGAAAGAATTTGGTTTGCCAAAGAAGCCATAGTTCCAGCTTTTATGTATGCCGCACCTGTCTTTCTTTTGGATTTTGAAGGTCTTTCTTGACTTATGTTTATCGGAATCTGTAAAGAACAAAAATTAAAATAGGGGGAAAGACTTAGATATGAGTACCAAACTGATATAAATGTCAAAATGAGAAGGAAAAATGAGCATATGCTAGCTGCTAGTTCATTGTTTATAGTATTTCTTTTTTTAAAAGAAGCAGCCTCTTTAAGTAGTATACTTTGGTTCCTTTCTAACAACAAGAAATGTTTTCGACTACATGTTTCACATAGAAATAGAGAATATAACGTTATATATTATCAGGCATCATCTAACCTGTAAAGATGCAATACTACTTCAAATGTCAGAATAAGAAAGAAAAATGAGCAAATACTAACTGCTTCTTCATTCTTATAAGACTACAAAGTAGATATAGATTCAAATGGAGTTCAAACACCAAGGTCATATGCAAGAACTGCTTGGATATAATAAAAGCTTGGAATTGAAATAAACTAATCTTGAACTGAAACATATTAAAATAGCTCCATGTATCAGACTATTGCATCAAATACTTAGCATATTACAAAAGCATGGAACTGAAACAGACTACAAATGCCAAGAACATACAAGAACAAAAATTGTTCGAAAGAAGGCAATAAAGTTCAAAATACAAATAAAAATGAGAAGTTCCTTCTTCAATCATCAGCATCCATCCAATTCCAATCAGTATCATCAAAATCATCCTCATTTTCTGATATATCCATAATTGTATCTTGTGAATGTTGTACAACAGCTGGCATATCAATGACATCAAGAGGTAAATCTTCTCTCGACCATCTAACATCAATATCGGCTACTCTAGTTGATGGACCGACTTCATCATTAGGCTCCCTCCAAAAAGTCTCCCCAACATTAGGAATATTCTCTTCCTCCAAATCATACAAATCAACATGGGCTTTATTCCTTGCATAATAAACATCTTTCTCAATTGGATCCTCCACATAAAAAACTTGATTTACTTGAGTTGCCAATACAAAAGGGTCATCAGTACTACATAGTCGGTTAAAGTATACCCAGGATAACCTATATTCATCTACTTCATTACGAAACCAATCACATCTAAACAGTACAACACTAAAGTAACTCCAATAATCAATCTCAATGATATACTGAATAGCTCTATAGTAGAGAACCTCTCCATCGATGGGATTTTGGTCCCGAGCACTAGTAAAACTATCAGTTGTTGCTGACAAAGTCACTCCACTATTCTGAGTCTTTAACGGGGCATCCCGCGTCATTGTATGAAATAATTAACTATTAATAAAATATCAAGTATATCATTTTTCCAATGTATTAGGCCCCTTAGCTAGCCCATTGCAAATGATTGGGCACTTCACTACTTTTAACTTCTCTTTAAACCAATCGGCGAAGTTCCGACTATAATTCCTTGCTCTTACCCTATGCATTTGATCTAGTACGATAATCAATTAAATTTTTATGTTCCCTGCAAGCCATATATTTCAAATTTAATCATTAGTCCTATATGAATTAAGTTTAGAAATTATAAGATATAAAATAAATGAAGAATATAATACAAGTGATGGTAATATATTTTATCTTACATGATAAATGCCTCCACTTATTCATCTCCAGCATTGAATAGAGCATATCTATGCGCCTCAGAACATAACTGCAAATCCATGGAAAAAATCTTTCTTTTTCTCTTATTCTTACTTCCAATTAGATGGCCTATTTTAGGAAATATAGGTGACAAATTTGCTCCCTCAATGTCCCCATAATCCTCAGTTTGGTACCTACTGAATCTTGTCTTCATCCCATCATGTAGATATCTCGAACAAAAAGTCAAGCACTCTTCAGCCAGAAACCCCTCTGCAATTGACGCTTCTGGGTGAGTTCGATTAAGAACAAGCGCCTTATACTTGCATAAGTTTCTTTCAGTGGAATACATCCAGCGTTAATGAGTTGGACCCCCAAGCTTAAATTCATTTATTAAATGGATAGGCAAATAAGGCATTATATCAAAATAGGTTGGAGTGAAAAATATTTCAAGTTCACATGTAATATCATTGATTTCAGTCTGCAATCTATCAAGATCCCCTCGCCTTATAACCTTAGCACATATGGATCTAAAGAAGTTTCCCAACCTAATCAATGCCAAAGAAACATTCTTGGGTAACAATTTTTTAACAGCAATTTGGAGCAAGTAGTGTATTATAAAATGAGCATCATGACTCTAGTACCCGGATATTTTCATCTCTTTCTCATGCACACAACGTAAAATATTTGAGGCACACCCTTTTGGTAATTTAGCATTTTTAAAGACGGAGCAAAATTGCCTCTTCTCTTCTAGATTCATGTAGAAACAAGCTTTAGCCAAAGAAATTGTTCCACTTGCAATATCTTTTATTGGTTGAAGCTGTTTTCGTATTCCCGTTTCTTGCAAATCGTAGCGAGAATTTACATGATCTTTTGACTTTCCATCTATCTCCAATAATGTCCCAAGAATACTATCATATATATTCTTTTCAATGTGCATAGAATCAAGATTGTGCCTTAATTTGTTAGTTTTCCAATATGGTAATCCAAAGAAGATGGATCTTTTCTTCCATGGACCCTTCCCAAGACCTTTTCTTTTGGCCCTTTCCAAAGACATTCTTGAATTCACTCAGCTCTTCGAGCTCTTCTGTACCCGACAAGTGATGGTAGGCTATAATTACATATTTTAGTCGCTTATTGCACCCTAAACCACTGCACTTTATTTATGTTTGAGCTTTAATTGGTAGTGTTTTGCACTTATTATGTGTTTTATTCCTTGCATGAGCGATTCCGAGCTATGTAGATGTTATAAAATGAATTCGAGCTATTTGGAGTTTTGAAGTCTAAGTAAAAGCCCAAGGGATTAAGCCGGGATCGTATTCGGGGGTCGAGTACCAAGTCTGAACATCAAAACATAAGCAAAATCCGTACTCTGAGAAAAATGGCTTGCTGCAGCATGTGGGGAAGCATGTGGGGCGCCACACTAGTGTAAATCTCTGTTGTCTGTCAGAAATCAATTCTCCCCACTAATGCCCCGTATGGCGTGATACCCCATGTGGCGTGCCTGTGCAAATTTTGCACAATAAATGTCCTATTTCGGCTAGAAAAAGGTGATTTCATCTAGGCCCGACCCTACTTGGTATAAATACATGTAAAACATTATTTTCTGGACTTTTGACACATATTCGACCTAAGGAGGCTAAGGAGGAGTTGGAAGAACACGAGCAAAAGGATTTCATCAGTCCTTCCTCACTCAAGACACGAGTTTGGATTGAATTTATATTTTCCTATAGTTTAACTTTATTTACGATGAATTGCTCCATATCTATGGAGTAGTTCTCTTTAGGGTTTGATGGATCTGGTATTTTGATGATTGTTTGTGGATCATAACTCTAATTTTATATATTGAAGCATTTTTGGATGATTTAACCGTTGCATCTATATTCACATGTTCATGTAATCCAGGGAGGCATAACTTGTGATATCCTTGCATTATATTGTTGGTTGAGTTCAGAAATTCTTCTTAGGAATCGAAAGAGGCTAGTTGAATCATTGATTAAACTTAGTTAGGAGGATAATCGAGAGAGGTTCTCCTAAAGACCAATCCACTACGCATTCTTGCATATCTTCACGTGCTTAAATTGATTCATCTTGTAAGGTTAAGACTAAATCGAGAGAGGAGTTTTTGCTGAACGCTTGAACTAATAATAGAGTGAATTCGAGAGACTCACTCGAACATTAGAAGTGAATTATCTAGAGTTAGATCCCAAACATTTATCTTGCACCTATCCTATCAACCCCTATTTCCGTCCACTGATATCTTCCTTTCTTATCTTTGTTTTGATTGTCATTAGCCAATAGTTTTAGATTCTTTGTTAATTTTAGTTAGGCATCTTATAAATCTCAACTGTTGATCATCTTGGATAGCAACCAAGCTAGAAACTACGAGAATACTGTTTAAATCCAATCCTTGTGGATACGATATTATACTATACTATATTTGACTAGCGAGTAGAACTTAAGTGTGTGTTTTACGCTCGTCAAATTTTGGCGCTGTTGCTAGGGATTTTTAATCAATAGTGTTTGAAATAGTTTGTAGTGCTAATTCTGAAATTTTTCTTTTTTTCCTTTTTACGTTTGGTGATCTTTGACTGTGCGCAGGTTACAGGTTGAGGTTGGTGTATGACTAGAGATTCTGCAAAAGAAGTGTTACCATACGAGCCGGAAATTAAAAAACAACTGTGACAATTGAGGAAGGAAAGAAATCTCACCGAGATGTTAGAAAAGGTTGGGCAATACTCAACCAAAGATACTATGGCCAGAAATGTCGATGACAATGTGGATTTGGCTGCAAGTGAGGCAGCCTAACCACGAGAACAAGCTGCACGAGATGCTGAAGCAGCAGCTATTAGAGATGCACAGATTATCATGAAGAAAAGAGGGATCGTAGAATTACTCAAAATCAACCCTTGGCTACAGACCAGTTCGGAAATATAGCTCCCGGGCCTGGGAGACCACTTGGTGATTATGCTAGACCGGTCTACAATCAAGGTTTATCAAGTGTTAGACCACCTCCAATTGCAGCAAACAATTTCTAGGCAAGGGTTGCTTCAAACCCTTTAGAATTGTTGTGTCTTTAGAGGGAAGCCAAACTAAGATCCAAATACACATCTAATAGACTCCGAGTAGATTACGAACACCTTTAAATACAATGGTGTGTCACAAAACGTAGTGTATTTAAGGGCATTCCTTTTTTCTCCTAAAGATGATGCAAAGCAGTGGCTTCGAAGCTTGCCCACTGGATTAATTAGAACTTGGGAGGAGATGACCAGAATTGTTTTTGATAAATACTTCTCCTCAGCTAAGACAGGCAAGTTTAGAAGAGAAATCCATAACTTCTGCTAGAATGATACTGAAACTGCTTTTGAAGCATGTGAGAGGTTTAAGGAGATTGTCCAAAAGCGTGAACATAGCGGAATTAAACTCTGGATGCAACTCCAGGACTTTCGGGATGGATTGACACCGGCTTCACGTAGAACATTGAGCAATGCAGCTGAAGGCCCATTGATGAAGAAGACTCCAGAGGAGATAGTTACAATTATTGATGAGTTATCTAAAGATGCTAATCAATGGCCGTCTGAGAGTGCTGAAAAAAGAAGATCAACTGGTATTCACCAGGTTGATGCTAATATATCAGTGCAGGTACAACTTGATGCGATGGCCAAAGAGATAAGGAGCTAACCTTTGCCTCGATACAAAGTGAGCCTTACGCAACTTGTGATATATGTGGAAGAGGACACCCTACTCATAATTGTCAAGCCTCAATTAAGGAAGTAAATGTTGTGGGAAACTACAATTTCAATGCAATGGGTCAGAAGCACCCTGGTTTTTTATGAAGTTCACCTGGAGGTACTGTGAATGCTTGGCAATAAGACAACTCTAGACCCAGGAACAAGGAGCTCCAGCGTACCAAAATTAGCAGAGGCAGCAATTTTAGCCTCAACAGCCCAATCAGCTTAGTCTAGAAGATCTCATGAAGGCCTTCATTGTAAAAACTGATGAAGATTTGAAGTACAAGGGGCAGCTATTCGAAATTTAGAGAAGCCGGTGGGACAAATTGCAACAATATTATCTGATAGGCTTCCATACACTCTCCCTGCTGATATTGAGAGAAATCCCAAAGAAACGGCGAATGTTGTGACCTTGAAAAGTGGGCCAGTATTGAAAGACCCCACCCCGATCCAAAACGATGTGAAACTTGAAAAAGAAATTGGGGAGCAACTGAATGAAGGTGATAAAAAGAAGAAGGGCCAGATAAAAGCTGAGAAAAGGAAGAAGGGAGAAACTTCGATAGGGGAGGAACATGATGAGAGTGAGCATATGCATGATCTACCTTTCCCTCAAAAGCTATGTAGAGAAAAAATGGAGTGGCAGTTTGCGAGATTTCTGGATGTACTAAAACAGGTTCATATAAATTTTCCATTCACAGAAGGGCTCTCACAAATGCTTACTTATGCAAATGTTTTGAAGGGGATCCTTACAAAGAAAAGGAAATCCAGGAGACCTCAGTGGTGAAGCTCAGGGAGCATTGCAACACGATATTACAAAATAAACTCCCACAAAAGTGTGGAGATCCAGTGAGTTTTACTATACCTTGCATTGTAAGAACTATTCATTTTGATAAATCATTATGTGATTCTGGTGCCTCAATTAATTTAATGCCTCTATCTATTTACAAGAAAGTAAGAAACTAGAGAAGGATATTAGAGAGATAAGGTCGGTGTCAATTTCTTTGCAACTGGCATACAAAACGACTTTAATACCCGAGGAGATAGTGGAAGATGTGTTAGTTCGGGTGAATAAGTTTGTATTTTCTGTGGATTTTATAGTGGTGAATATGGATGAGAATACCCACCATCCTAGGATGACTATTCTTAGCAACGGGTAGAGCAATATTGGATATACACGAGAGAAAACTCATGCTTAGAGTGGGCGAGGAGACTGTGACATTCAAGATTGGACTAGAAAAGGGGGCACAAAAAGAAAAATCAGCTGATAGTGTTAAGTGAAAAGTGAAGGGTTCAAAAGAGAAGGATGTGGCGAGTGAGAAAGATAAGTGTGGGGTGTACCCCAAAAAGGCTGAGAAGAAGTTGTCTGCATGGATGTGTGCATTAGTTCGAAGGCGAGGAATAGAGCCCGACTTCGACTCAAACCCCGACTAGATGTTCAGGGAAGTTTCATTTATCTTATGCTTTTTTTATTGTGTCATGAGGACATGACACAACTAAAAGTGTGGGGTGGGGGATATGTTGTATATATGTATGTATATTGGTTTTAGTCTTTGTTGTTTTAGTAGTTGGAAATTGAAAAAAAATCATAAAAACTTTAAATTTTTTGATTTTTTCCCTACGATGGATATCATTCGGCAGGTTTCTTGAGGGATTAAAGTCAAAAGAAAAGTTATGTAGAACAAGCATAACTGTTTGGAGCTTTGAAGTTTGAGTAAAAGCCCAAGGGATTAAGCCGGGATCGTGTTCGGGGGTCGAGGACCAAGTCTGGACGTCAAAACGCAAGCAAAATCCGTACTCTAAGAAAAATGGCTTGCCGTGGCGCGTGGGGCACCGCGCTAGTGCAAATCTCTGTTGTCTGTCAGAAATCAACTCTCTGGATTTTCCCACTAATGCCCCGCATGGAGCGTTTCCGCATGCGGCGCGCCTGTGCAATTTTTACAGAGAATGTCCTATTTCGGCTAGGAAAAGGTGATTTCGTCTAGGCCCGACCCTACTTGGTATAAATACATGGAAACACGTAATTTTCTGGACTTTTGACACATATTCGACCTAAGGAGGCTAAGGAGGAGTTGGAAGAACACGAGCACAAGGATTTCATCATTCCTTCCTAACTCAAGATACGAGTTTGGATCGAATTTATGTTTTCCTATACTTTAACTTTATTTGCGATGAATTGCTCCATATCTATGGAGTAGTTTTCTTTAAGATTTGATGGATTTGGTATTTTGATGATTGTTTGTGGATCATAACTCTAATTTTATGTATTAAAGCGTTTTTGGATGATTTAACCGTTGCATCTATATTCACTTGTTCATGTAATTGAGAGAGGCATAACTTGTGATATCCTTGCATTATATTGTTGGTTTGAGTTCAGAAATTCTTCTTAGTAATCGAAAGAGGCTAGTTTAATCATTGATTAAACTTAGTTAGGAGGATAATCGAGAGAGGTTCTCCTAAAGATCAATCCATTAAGCATTCTTGCATATCTTCACGTGCTTAAATTGGTTCATCTTGTGAGGTTAAGACTTAATCGAGAGAGGAGTTTTTGCTGAACGTTTGAACTAATAATTGAATGAATTCGAGAGACTCACTTGAACATTAGAAGTGAATTATTTAGAGTTAGATCTCAAATAATTATCTTGCACCTATCATATCAACCCTTGAGGGGTTACTCTAGTGGTGAGCACCCTCCACTTCCAACCAAGAGGTTATGAGTTCGAGTCACCCCAAGAGCAAGGTGGGGAGTTCTTGGAGGGAGGGAGCCAAGGGTCTATCAAAAACAGTCTCTCTACCCCAGGGTAGGGGTAAGGTCTGCGTACACATTACCCTCCCTAGACCCCACTAGTGGGATTATCCTCGGTTGATGTTGTT